GTAATCTCGTGCGTGGGAAATTAACGTCTCCTACCCCTAACCCTGCAGGAGACGGGGCCTACGGTTTATTCGTCCTTGTTGTAGAACTCAAGGTGCTTGCTCGCTTCACAAATTTAGTGGCTCTTTTCGACATGAGATAATTTGCTTGTGAGCACAAGCCAGAAATCGCAAACGGGGGAGAACTCAATGTCCAACTACTAAGATACTCCGAAACAAACAATAATTAGAAACATTGGGTCAAAATTGGATCAAGATCGGAATACTAGTGTTACACTCACTCGATCACTCTCTAATTCACATACTCAGTCATCTCAACGACCCAGCTATGTGGCTTTCATATACAGTAGGCCACAAAAACGACAGAAGAAAAGTTGCAACAAGGTCGAGGTGAACTGGTGACCAAAATGTGTTGCACCACAAACTACGACATTGCATTGTGGGAAGGTCTCTTAGGTATGGCTGACCAACTATTCGAACGTGTGTAACAAAATCGTCACCCAAAAGGTGAAGATTTCGAGTTTCTTTTCACCAACAACGACTTATAAGAAAACGAAAAAGAAGATACAGCCATGGTGAGTGCTACAATTTTATACACTGGCCTTTAAGAACATTGCTTTTGAAGTATTGTTCCACTTTGAATTTGCCACATAGTTGTGGGAACGTTGAAAGATTGAATCAGAGTTAGCTCTGATTGAATGATAAGATCAATCTTGAATCTAAGAGTTGACGAACGTACCTATGATTTCAGCCGCAAAACGAATACGTTGAACAGTCTCGGAAACGGCGTGGGTACAGACTCGATCACTTCGAAAAGAAGTAAGTGCAAGAGAGAGAATGACAGAGGGAGAGATAAAAAAAGCTTAAGTTGTAGAGAGGACAGATCAGATTAGAATCGACATAGATAGATTCCATGACAGGAAGAGAGTTGTTACCATTCAAATTACAAGGCTAATCTGCTAATTGATTCTAACAGAATTGAGTTCCATGAAGTATTGATGAGTTACATGTAATCTCTGTCAATATTCGGTCAGTAAATCACCATTGTTTGGTTTATATGTCTGCTGAAATTACGGTCTTTTCGACTAAGTCTTTTCGTCCAAAAGTTTTTTCATTTAAGTCTGTTCGTGTACTTGTTAAGTCTTTTCTCGAAGCAAATAAATAACTTTTAGAAGGTTAGAAAGGTTATATAAAGAACATATTAGTGCGAGCTGTTGCCATTTTGATTCCATTAGCTTTAGTCACCAATCCTCGTTTGCAAAATTCAACGTTGGGAATTACAATAAATACACAGAGAAGATGCTTATTTGGGGTCATTTTTGGCTTAGTTTTATTTCTTTGTCATGTTGGACTATGTTGTTGGTTATGTCGAACACTTAGTGATGTTACACGTAGTTGTCTATTACGCCTAATAGGCGCTCAACAACAAACCTGATATTCCCATTTCTTTTGCACAAAATAAGGAAACTGCAAGTATTTATTTTTGTCACTAATTAATAAAATATATCACATTACAACTTCATTTAAAACAATGATATAACTTTAATGAAAAGACTTCTTACTGGATGAATGGACCTAAGACTTTAGATGAGAAGTTTTAGACAAAAGACTGGATACCATCTGCTGACTGTTATATATGGTAATAGATAATGCTAACACTTGTGTAACTTTGTGTATTTCAGGCGTAAAAAAGAAAGTCGTGAGCCACATACTCATGCAAAGTATGCCCACAAACTCCATGGCCTCAAGTAGGTGGAATGTTCATGTCTTTGGACTAACTTTGTTTGAAGAGGTTGAATAAGTCTTTTTGACATGGTGATCCATTACCACCACACTTAGTCACAGTTGCCATGGTGTGAAGCACCTTGGAATATTGTAATTCCTCTCTGGTAGAATACCTTTTCATTGTAAATAGTCCCCTTCCTTTCACCTAAGCCAAGATGTCAAGATTTCCTGACTGTTTCTTGGTGCTTATCTATATCCTTGCAAGGTATTTGATTTTGAAGACATGATATAATTTTTTTGTTTAAGATGCAGCTTAAGTTAACAACTCTCTTCACTGGAGAGAACACAGATAACACCTAATTTTAATCCTGATGAAGTCTACATGAATTGTTTTTCCTCTTTTTAATGATTGAAATTGTTGTCACCCCATGACAGGGCCAAGATGTACAATGAAAAGCGCCGTCTTGAAAAAATACAGATGAAGAAGACGTAAGTGGAGATACTCTTTAATCACATGTTTTGTTGAATTTGTTGTTTTCTGTTATATTATAGTATAATTAATAGGATAATCATGATTCTCTCTTAATGATCTGAATATTTAACAGACTAAGAATGCATGAAGAACGCCAGACAAAGACAAAAGATAGCCAAAATGTACCAGAAGGTGCAGTTCCTGCATATCTCTTGGACAGAGAAGGGCAATCACGGGCAAAGGTGCTCAGTAATATGATCAAGCAAAAGAGGAAGGAAAAAGCAGTAAGTGATACAACGGCTTGCTACAATTCCTTGTGGACTTAGCTCAGTGGTAGAGCATGTAAAGGAAAATTGAACTGATCCTTGGGTCTTAGGTTAGACTCCTAAGGAAAATAATGTGAAAGACAGGTTGTGAAAATGGTGGATTAGAAGAGAGAGTTATGGGGTGTAGGTGGGACGGCACATTTTAGTGTTTTTTACCCAAGTGCAAGGAAAGACGGAAGGAAACAGAACATAAACTTTGAAACTCTCTTCAAAGCCATCAAATTCAACCATTTTTTTAACAAAAAAACCTTGGAATTTCTCTCTTTATCTTCCATTGGTATACCTGTTTCTCCAACAGGAAAATATCATCTCACTGAGTGCGTAGGAAAGTTTTTAACAGTATCATTAACAGCACATGAAATTTTAGTGTAAATTATTAAGCTGCAATACTATTTGCTCTTTATCAGGGAAAATGGGATGTACCACTTCCTAAAGTAAAAGCTGTAGGAGAAGATGAAGTTTTCAAAGTTGTCAAAACAGGGAGGTCCAAAAGTAGGTTTTGTGGCTGTCAAATGTGAACTATACTGAATTCAAATACATTTATTCAAAATAATGTTGCCCAGAGTCTTGTGTAACATGACTCTTTTGGCCAATTTGACCCCTCGAGTACTTGTACCCATGAGTGTGATGTGTGCCACACCATTTTCACTTCAAATCTGGGAGGGCTGGTTTGAGTTACTTTTAGCAGGTCAGAGTTTTGTCAAATCTGAATTTGAGACACTCAGTACCTACCAGTATGTGAGGCTGTTAACAGAGAAAAGAGTCCTGAGGTATCCTGTACATCTAAATCCCATCAAAAAAATGATACTTACGTTTCATCAGTGTACATGAACATGAAATAGTGGCTTATTTTTGTATATTAACACAAGTCAAGAGTCTAATTATCTTGGGGGATGAGTTTTGCATTGGTGTGAGATTATTTTAATTTTTCATTTTTTAGAAAAAGCATGGAAGAGGATGGTAACCAAAGTTTGTTACGTTGGGGAAGGGTTTACAAGGAAACCCCCAAAGTATGAGAGATTTATCAGACCAATGGTGAGATCTTCTCTCATTTACAATGGCTATATGCATTGAATTATTTACAATGCTTGTATGCATGGCTTCATGTGCATTCCGGGGTAATAAGAGCATATGCATTGACAGCCATACTCATTGGAGTTCACTTACCTTCTATCTTCTGAAAAATATGTGCACCATATCCTCAATGTGTTCCCTCACCAGTGACTATCACATGCAGGGTCAGATGTCTGTAGTCTCCCCTTAAACTTCAAGGGAAAAATCAGATAGGTTTTCCTTTTCTACAGCCACAAATAAGTAATATTTTATTGAGCTGAAGTGGAATCTTGATGAATTCTTTTTACCCTACTTTAGGGTTTAAGATTCAAGAAAGCTCATGTCACACACCCTGAGGTGAGGTTCTTAATTTTATTTGGTTTGAAGTTCCACCAACTGACTAGGGCTAAAATTACAGGGGAATATGAACTAGTTAGTAATCACCCACTGAAGATATGTTTTAGTTCATACTCAATTTTGCATCTTCTTCAATTTTGTCTTTGAGAGTATGTGT